CAGATGCACGCCCGGAGTGACGCTTCCGATTTCTGACAAAAACACTCGGACCAACATTTCTCAGCTAAGTTTGCTGTCAGCACGGCGATGTTGTACAGACTCACAACGCCACTTTCATCTCCACCACTCACACCAGCATCAAGTTGATCTAGCTCACACATGGTCAAAGAGAACGGTCAACTCTAGCGATTGCAATCGGACTCATATTCTACTTTGCTACACGGGACAACAGCGACCAATTACATCTTTGGAAGCGTGCCGATTTCCTGTAGATACCGATACGTCTCGAGATAACCATCCTTCACGGTATCACACACAGTGTGCCAGCCTGCAGCCCTAGCCTTATCGAGGCTTCCTGTCTGATCAAAGGTAGCGCCAATAGTGAAGTCGGCAAAGGCGAAGGTTGCGTGATCAGCAAACGCACTGGGATCGCCGCCCTTTTCTGTGACCAACTTCTGCCATGCTTCTACATTTTCAGCTTGCTTACTCCATTTGTCTAGGCTCAGACTGAGCTTCGGTGGCTTCTCATTATACTCTGCCCTACCCTTTGCCGTGGGAGGCAAGATCTTGAGGCCCAACTCCTTGCCCAAGTCCTGCCAGATCTGTCCAAGTGTCCTCTTTTCACCGTCTTCGATGTTGAACGACTGGTTCTCGCACTTGGCCGCATTGGCTGGGTCCGTGAGGAATACCTGGAATCGTGCGTTGTTGATGGCAGTACTTTGCGAGACAATGATCTTGTCCCAGTTCAGATTGTTGCCAGGGTACTGCACCTCCGTCTTGCCTTTGGCTTTCTCCAAGGTGAGGTAGAGGGAGGTGGAAACGGCTTGGTTCATGAAGTTGCCCTTGGCCGCACCAATGATGGTGTTAGGGCGAGTTTCGGACCATGCATATCTGTTCTTCTTGGCATGATCGACCAGCGTGTCTATCTGATCATAGTAAAAGTTGGGTGGATCAGTAGGACCGCGGGGAGCATCTTCGCGGTAAGGTACTGGAGAGGCAATGTCCTTGTTTGCCAAGTGGAGAGAATACCATTTGTATCCTGTTTGCAGGTGGAAGTGTTTGAGCGACTTTCCAGCTGCAGCATAGGTTGAGTCTAGGGCCTTGGAAAGGAGGACGTGGTTGACATCCAAAAGTTCATGCGCGTCCTTCTTCTCGATATAAGTGTAGTGAAGGGCTACATCGACAGACTCGCCTCCATTGACTTTGAGCTGAGAGGCGATTTCAGAGACCGAGACATTTAGAATGTCGATCGAGACGAATTTGATGCGCGAATCCTTGAGATCGATCTGAGGCGGACGACGAGAGACGGCGATAATGGAGCCGACCGAAGAGGCGGGCTGCTCGACAAGGGCGCGAAGAGCTGCGATGCCGGAGACGCCATTGGCCCCCCAGACGAGGTAGTTCCTTGGCGATGACATGGTTGCTACAATGCTCATATTGGATACGTGCATGGTTCGAGTCTCTGACGAGGAGGAAGCTTCTTATATGTGCGACCCAAGGCAATGCAAATTTAGGTTTTGCCTCCACCGAATAAGTAGCGCAAGTGTGACTGTACAAAGCCGTACCAGTACACAGACACATGACATCAGTCCATAGTTTCCAAATCTGCTGATCGAATCGCAGCGTGTTGCTCGACCGGAAGGCTCACCTCAGCCGGGTTGTGAGTGTGAGTCGTCAGAACGCTAATCAGCTTCTGAACCACAACAATCTAAGTCCGGAAACCGGCAAAAGCAGCAATTCACACCTCGACACACAAGTCAAAAGTCCTGTTTCTGTGACTTTGGTATTTCAGAGATCGTGACAGTGTTTGTTCTGCCGGGCCAAATGAGTGACTTAGCGCACCGTTAGCCTGACTGTTGCGCATCTCAATCACGCAAGAACGCCAGTCGCTTCAATAGGATCTCGGCGCTATCGGTCATCTCGGTACCAGCTGCGATGACCTTCTGCAGGTAATCGTTCGCCAGCGCCAAATTACCGACCTTGTCCCGAGGTCCCACGTCGGCGTCTTGCTTCTTATCATCGTCCGCTACCACGCCTACCGCTTCTGCCCTCTGCTGTGCTGTTTTAACACCAATCTCTCCCATTTCCCACCTAGCTGCGATGATATACGATCTCGCATACCTCGCAATCACATTCGACTCTGTTCCCGCCAGCGCTCTATCAACGACCTGCACCAGCCGGCGATGATAGGATGCTGCCGCTTCGAAATCTCTTTCTTTTTCGTACACTTCGATGATTCTCGTAAGTCCGATGACAGTATCTCCCTGGTTGAGTCGGCAAGCGAGGTAGCGTTTGAAGCATGAAATGGCATCCTGAGATCTTCCCATATGGTCGTAGCAGATGCCCATACTTGACCACATCCTGCCGTCGTACGGTCTGATCGCCGCACATTTCTGAAAGTAATTGACAGCATAGGTATAAGCTCCATTGAGCTCGTACACCTGTCCAAGACCGTACAGGGCACGATATTCGCGTGGGTTGATCTTAAGTGCTCGGCGATACATTTCTGCCGCGGCATGGCTATTCTTGAGTTCGATGTACTCGTGACCGAGTAAGATCCATGCGGGCACACAGCCAGAGTCGAGCCGAAGAGCGTGTCGGAACGCCTCGATGGCTCGATGATGGTCGCTGCGCTGGTTGTAATAGTTGCCAACTAAGCAGCAGACTTCGGGACGATCCTTGGCGAAGGAGCTAAATTTGTGCGCGAGGTGTGCTAGCTCTGCGGTGCGGTTGAGAAGGTACAGCGCGTTGGAATAGTCAGAGAGGCCGTCGATGCGGTAAGGGTCGACAGACCAGGCTTCTTGAAAGTCTTGCTCAGCTTCAATGTAGTCTAGCCTGTGAACATTGGTCTGGGCACGACAAGTGAAGAGGTATGCGGAGCGTGGAAACGACTCGAGAAGTCGATCGATGCGGGCGATGGTCAGATCTCCTTCCTGGGCTGAGTGACGATCGAGATATTCGCGAAAGAAGCTCACCATGAAGGATTCTGGTAGCAGATCAGCCATCTGGTCCGCTTCGCCAGGTTCGAGAGTCATTGCGAGCTCTTGCCATGCAGCCCAGTTGTACGCGAAGCCTTGGACCGAGCGAATGAGGCAATCCATTGCTTCGATGGGTCGGTTGAGTTTGCGCAGAATTGCACCTTTGAGGAAAAGAAGGAAGGGGTCTGCGGCGTCAATGAGCTCTTTAAGAATGGGAATCAAGCTTGGCGATGTGGCCGGTAGTGTACCGTTGGGTTTTGGAATGACCATGCCGTGCTCGTCGATCTTGCGTTCAGACATGAGGAAGCGAGCGTAGAGCCGCAGGAAGCGGGCCTTGTCGGATGTGCTCTTGCCGTTTTCCAACACCCAGATGCACCTCTCAAGCTGATGCTGATCGAAATGGCTCTTGGCTAGCATGTATGACTCTTCTTCCAGAGCTGTAGCGCCCGACGGTGCGCCAGCGAGGCGAGACTGCGATGGTCCTGGCGAACAGTCGACAGAGTTGGTGTTGGATTGCCAATGCACGTGAGCGGAGCCTGGCACATCTCCGTCCTCACTGTCGACTGTGATGAGGGAGCTATCTGGATCTACCCGAGGCGAGGCGACACGACCAAATCTTGCATTGACGAGGGGGGACGATGGATATGTGCTTGCTGGGAATCTTCCCGAGACTTCCCTGACAGATCCGTCTTCTGCGCCAGGCTCGACAGATATGCGCGGATGCATGCCTAGAGCTGGGGTAGAGTGTTCTGGAATGAATGACTTCGCATGTGGACGTTGTTTTGTCGCTGGTGTTGATGTCACCACGGCTGGGTCATCTGATCGAGTTTGTGTCGAGAAGGAGGGGCCTTCGTTCCCAGCTTCAATGTAGGGGACCGATTGAAGCAGTTCGAGGGTCCATTTGGAAGATGATGCCAACCCACGGTCGGCTAAGTGGGTTGCTGCTAAGCGCAGAGTCTCGCGCGCGCGAGACGGGTCGAGGTCCGGAAATGGGTAATCGATGTCAAATATAGATGTGTGCGACATAGTCGCGAGCGATGTTTTCGAGCTACGATGGGGATGTCGAAGTCGTCATGCAGGTGGCTTACGTTGTCGAGGCTCTGAGGCAGGCGGAAACTGACAAACGAATGGAAGGCAGTCTTCGCGATGATATCGCAACCAGAACCACACCTCCCGATGTGAGCGGATCTTACGTTGGGCTGCCGTACGTTGATGGTGCTGGTGGGCTGGATGGAGGACTGAAACGACTCAAAGACTCGCCAAAGACACAGTGCGTGCAAACCAATTTGGTTGTGTTGTTCTCCGACAAGACTCGAGAACGCACTTATGGAATCTGCACGTTTCTCCACGCCGATATCCGATTCTGGCTGGGTCCAAAAATTCCTAATTCAGAGTCTGGCAAAGTTGGAGCTTTCAAGGCAGCAGAGCCAGTACGCTTTTGGGAAAAAGAAAACAAAATCAAGGCAGTAGCTTCAGTATACGTTTCGCAAAAACCCTGAGGCAGCAGACACAGTTATTTGTGCTAAAGAGGTGCAATGTTTTATAGCCATCAACACTGGCTTCTGCCCCATTCAAGAATGCCAGCAGCCAACTCAATGTTTCTTAGCACATGTTCAGTGACTGTTTCTTGCTGTCCTCTTTGCCCTGTTGCACCTGCTGTTGCTTCAAAGGTGCTATGTCTACATTTGGAGTAACATAATCTTCTGCCAAGTCTGTCACATGGAATGACAGTACTTACCAAGTAGCAAAGCCACATGTGGTTGCAAATTGTTCCTTTAATTGCAAAAACCTTACAATTGCAACTGCACCTTTATATTGAGCCTCTGGATTGGTATATTGGAGGGTTGTACCATGTTTCTTTTTCAACAGAGGATTGGACTTGTGGTATACCATTGTCATTTACTCCTGCCACTTTTGTCAGCCCTGATACAAGTACAAGCAAGCAGCAGAATCTAGGATCAAAAAAGCAAAAAGCAAAAAGCAAAAAAATTACAATAATGATGAATTATTAAAAATATAAGTTGCAGTCTGGAGGAATCGAACATCCGTCTGCTCGGCACTGAAGCCAATGGCTCAGATGTAGAAATGAACCACAACGAGCTGTACTAACCACTATACTAAGACTGCTTGATGGATCCCCGATGTAATAAGTATATATATATCAATACAGTTAGAATCTTATTCCAGGGGGTTCAAATACTCCATCTAAGCATCATACTCAGACTAGGTGAAAACTTTGGCAGAGCCGGCTGTCTCTGTAGGTTCGCAAACTAATTTCTGCAATAAGACTGTCAGGAATAAATTTGGAAAAGCACACATGTCGGCAAACTATTCGGACTGTACACAGATCTTCACGCATTGAAGCCTAAAAGGTATGGACTTGGTGGTGAGAATTTGCATTTTGATCCGTGAAAAATTTTCACAGCTTGCGGTGACTGTTTGGAAGGGGACACGCCTTCACATGGTAGTATGTGACCTCCAAACAGTTGAAGATATTGCGCCGACCGAATTAGATGGGCAGATGAATTAAGGCATGAGGCGAATAAAGCTGAATGCGGACAAAGCGAAGAAACTGAAGGCGATGGCTCCCAATAGGGGGCTCGAACCCCTGACATTCATGGCTCCCAATAGGGGGCTCGAACCCCTGACATTAATAAGAGGGAAATATTGTAATACGTGTATAGCGAACGATACTTGACAAGATTACCCTGTCTTTGCCGAATTTTGGGGGCCGCGACGAAGGTATATAAACCCGAAGATTCAGCATGTAAATAGTCAGAAAAATCAAGCAAATAAGAACCAAGAATAACAACCTTCAACTGATTAAGAGTCTGAATGCTCAGAACGACGAGCTAACAAGAACAAGAAACAAGAACAAGAAACAAGAACCAAGAAAATGTCCAGCGTCGAACCACAGACTATGCCAGTCGAGGCTCAAGGCATAGCTAAGAAAACTCGAGCAAGAAGAAACAAGAACACCGCCCCCACTCATAACGACGATGAAGAAGAACTCGAAGACGAGTGTGACTTCCAGCCGATCCGAAACCTCGACCCAATCATCATGCAGAAACATTTCAGCAGCCTGGGCGAACTTACGAGCAAGAACTGGGGATTTTGGAATTCAGATTTTGAACGACTAATGTTATCCCTCGAGGGAGTCGCCGAATATATTACAGGCGAGAAAAATCCCAACAGCGAAGGTTGGAATAAACATTTGGATAACATGATGTGTTCAATCATCATTAGCAAGATGAAAACCGGAGGCGAGGATGGACTCGACTCGCTCAAGAGCAAAATCATCGGATTAAAAGTTGCTCATGTTGGAAAGCTCTGGAAGCTGATCAGAGAAGATCTCACGGTCGACAACGAAGAAAGGATTAAATTGATCCTGGATCAAATAGTATGTGCGAGGGTCCTTCACAACGATGTGAGGAAGTACATCAAGTACATCGAGGACCTTTCCAACGAGGCAACCTTAATTGGATATCCGTTCATCGACCACACTCTTACGCATTACGTGCGCCAGCAACTGTACGGAAACCCAATTTACCAGGTAACCTTAGATATGCATCCGACTTCCTCGTTCAAAGCTCTTTGCACGGCTTTAGAATCCAAGCAGATCCAGCACGAGACACTCGGACCTGGTACATTTGTTAGAAGAAACCCAATCCATTATCAAGCTCGGGCAGCAAATGTAAGTGGTCCCAAGGAGGCCAATACTCCCTACTATTGGCAAGGACGGCGCGATCCCAGTAAGCCTAATGAGAGGCCGAAATGTTATAGCTGTGGACAAGTTGGGCACATTGCTAGGCAGTGCTCATACCAGCAACAAAACAACCAGCCGGCCCCGGACGCCAAAACGAGCCAGTAGGAATTTTGGTGCACCCTCACGAGCTCGCACAAAGAAATTAACCCAGATACTTGGGTTGTGGACTCTGGTGCGAGCATGCATATGGTAAATGATTTCTCATTGCTCGTTGACCCAAAACCTTTTTCAGGCCAAGTTCACACGGCCGGAGAAGGATCATTGGAGATCAAAGCAATTGGAGATATATTCGCTCATGTAGGCATTATGCAAGTTCACCTGCGTAATGTATTATATGTTCCAAAAGCGAATATAAAATTATTATCTGTTATTGCCTTGATGAAAGAGAGTGGTGCACGAGTGATTTTTGAAAATTCAGGAGGAAAGATTTATTTCCCAGATGGTGTGATTATTGGAGTAAAAGAAAATGTTGAGAGAAATTGGTTGGAAATTCGTACCAACCAGCGTGAGAATTATGGGCTACATCAGACAGAAGAATTATTCGAATGCCTACCAGAAAAAATGCAAATTCGCGAACCGAGCAGAAAAGTATCCAAGGAACACCTATGGCACGAAAGGCTCGGCCACCCAGGCCGAGATAAAGCTAGAGCAATCATCAAGAGATTTAGTGAATCAAGCGAAGTCAAATTGGACCCTGAAGATTCATTGGATTGTCACGAGTGCATCGCTGCCAAAAGCACACAGGCAAGAATGGGAAAGGGCAGTGGAGAAAGGGACAGCGAAGTACTCGGATTAATTCACGTCGATTTAATTACAGATTTATCAGGGACATCTGAATATCGGAACATCCTTGTAGCTGTTGATGACCATAGCGGGTACATATTGGCTACGCCAATTTTCAAGAAAAGCGATGCACTCGGGTGCCTACAAAATTGGACGAAATTCATGGAAAATCAAACACGCAACAAGGTCAAAAGAATCAGGTCAGATAATGGTGGAGAATGGGCCAGCACTCTAGCAGATCAATGGAGCGCGAATGAAGGAATTCTTTGGGAAAAGACCTCGCCATACACCAGTACTCAGAATGGGCGTGTAGAGAGGATGAATCGCACACTCATGGAGAGAGTGCGAGCGCTGCTTAGCCAACGAGAATTACCAGCAAACCTGTGGCCATTTGCAGTCCAAGCAGCGGCTTTCACCATTAACCTCACTCCAGACCAACATGGACTCACACCGTACGAAAAGGCATTTAAACGGAAACCGGATCGATTTGTCCAACTACTCAGGGTATTTGGTTGTCTTGCATGGGTATTTATTCCTAAAGGAAGGCGGGAACACGGCAAAATCGATGCTCGAGCTGTTGCGGCGGTACTGCTTGGATACAGTCTGACAAGGAAAAGTTGGCTATTTTACAGTCCAAACTACAAACCGGATTTATTCTGGAGTAATTCGGCTAAATTCCTCGAACAACAAAGTTGGCAAGATAGAACAGAGTTCCTCCCATTAAAAATCTATCCGCCAAAAGCACCGGTTGACAATGCAGAAATTCCAGATCTAGGATACGAGGATCAAGACGCGAATTACGAAGATTACGAGGATGCCCTAAAACACCTAGTGGATGATGATTTCCCAGAAAACCAAGGAGAAATTCAGGAGGAGATTCCATCTGAAGAGCTTCAGCGCGAGGAAATCCCTAATTCGTCAACAGGAGCCAAAATCGATGAAAGCGAGAATAAAGCAAGAAAATCATCAAATGATAGGCGAAAATACGCTCTCATCGGTAATCCCAAAGTAGAGACGCTAGATTTGATGCCCACGGTCAAAGAGGCGATGGCACGCGAAGATGCACAAAAGTGGAGAGAAGCGATAATGAAAGAAGTCGAGGGATTAGAAAAGAAAGGGACATGGGAAATTGTTGACAGACCATTAAACGTAAGGCTGGTTGATTCCAAATTAGTACTCAAGATCAAGACGGATGCAAATATGAAACCAACAAAATACAAGGCAAGACTGGTAGCACGAGGATTCACACAACAGCAAGGAATTGACTATGACGAAATATTTGCGCCGGTTGCACCTATGGAAGCAATACGAGCTGTGCTCGCGATAGCGGCGTTCAATGATTGGGAAATTGATTGCATTGATGTGGTTCAAGCATACTTGAACTCAGAATTGCATCACGAGGTGTACCTCAAGCCCCCGCAGATTACACAAGTACCGGAAGGTAAGGTTTACAAATTAAAGAAAGGACTTTATGGGCTCAAGCAATCTGGGCGAGAATGGAATAAAATATTGGATCAACATTTGAAAGACATAGGTTTTAAGGGACTACCTTGTGCACCGTGCATCTACCTCAAAGGACAAGGCGATAAAATGGTAATTATCACCACCTATGTTGACGATATGCTGATAATTTCTCCAGACAAACGAGAAGTAAACAAAGTAAAAGACGACATAAGGCGAAAATGGGAAATTGAGGACAATGGACCCGTAACCGAATTTTTGGGTATAAAAATTACCAGAGACAGATACAAGAAAATCCTCGATCTAGATCTAGCAGCATACATCAAGAAAATGATCAGTAAGTGGCTACCAAACGGCGAGAAATCATGGCGACCAATGATATGCCCACTGGACGCAGAAGAAACAGAAGAAATAATTGGGGAAAAATCGAAGAATTATCAGGAATTGGTTGGTCAACTATTATGGGTATCAAATACAGTGCGACCAGACATAAGCTTCGCCGTTGGGTCATTGGCGAGGTACATGTCGAAACCGAGGGAAGGAGCTTGGGAAGCAGCTATTCAGGTATTAAAGTATTTAAATCAGACAGCCGAAAACACTTTGCGATACGAAAATAAAGAGGAAAATAAGCATCCAATAACAACGTACACAGATGCGAATTGGGCTTCAGAGAGGGCGACGAACAGAAGGAGTACCTCAGGATCCACGACGTGAAATAACGGCGACACTCTGTACTGTTTCTCTCGACGCTGATTCGCAGTCGAACAAAACTTCGCAATCGACGTTGGTGAAATTGTGGAGGCCTGAATTTTTCGAGGTTGCAGAAGGCGAATTTGAAAATAAGATGAAAATTGATTCTCTCCTGAATTTTCACCGGTGCTTCGGTTTTTTTACAAAGCCGGAAGAGGAATCAAAACCATTGCTGACCCTCCTCCCTCAATGAATGAACAAGGAGCGGCCGAGTCTTGCGTGTGTCAGCGAGCCAAACAAGAGGATAAGAAGGGTAAAAGTGCAAGAATAAAAGGGTCTGCTCTCCCCACAACCCTTAACAGAAGGAAGCGACACTTTTCTTTTAACCCGCTTTCATTCGCTTGCTAGTACAGTAATCTGCATCCTT